AATCGGTCAACTAGAAAGATAAGGAACGGATCCACAAGACAATGAAGGGATCCGGATTGGAGGCCCGAGTGAGATAGGCCCATAGAAAGAGAGGGGTCGGGGTAAATAGCAAGTGTGATGAGGCCACACTCGGTTTGCCACAAAAGGGCCCACATTTGGATGATTGGAATGTAAACAAGTGAGAAGTTGTGAAACAGCAGTGGGATAAGAGGGTAAAGAATAGATAGATAGACAATGACAGAAAGAGGATTGATAGTGTAACCGTTTCCGGCAGAACGGTTGTCGAGAGATTGACTTCACTTGTCTCTTTGATGAGTTCGCAGCTTGGTGCGGAGAATGGCAAAGCTCAATGATGATGCCGACTACGATGCCGGCGAAACGTATGAGAATGTATCAAGTCCACTGACAGATGCTGGGTATCATGATAACTACTATGGCAGACGACTTCGGACTCGGTGCGTTCTACGTAGTCTCCCTGAACACAAGAGCAAGTTGCGACAACGAGGTCAACCAACTTCTATAAATCGAAAGGAGACTGCGACCATACCAGAGGCCACAACATCTTGGTCTTTATATCTTAAGAAGGATAAAAGGTTTTTAGTATTTAAGTGGAGTTTCGAGACTACCAGTAAATCAGTAATATGAGATGTATTCACCCTATTTCGTTTAAGTTGATGAAGGACTGGTAGTTGAATTTTCCCACAATGATATGAGTAGAGCTGACGTTTCTATTAGCTTAACATAGCCTTACTTTCCCAAAAGTTGTTCTCGTCCAGGGTGGACTGCAGTTCCGACCTCGCATCGGTCTTATCAACACCCTCAGTGGGATTCGAACCGTAACAGTGCAGAGTGGGAGCTTGACACGTTAACCACTCGGCCACATTGCCACGAGTGCCCTTGGGTCACATGGCACGAAATTGGCTGAATACTTCTCATATAACTGATTTACTGGTAGTTTCGAAACTCCAATTGAAATACGAAAAATAAAAATGTAGTCGATTGTCATAGCAAATATACGTTTGCTTTATCGACAATCTCACCAAAATAATGTGATATGGCAAAAGTCCTGGCCTACATTAAAATTCACATCTGCCCTGTGACCAAAGGGCAACCGTGGCAATTTGAACAAGTCGTTAACGTGTCAAGCTCCCATTCTGCACTGCCACGATTCAACTTCAGCTGGGGGTGTTGATAAAAGCTTACCAATATTTTTTAAAAAGTTGGTCCAATCTAATGAGGTACAGGATCTACAGCGGAAGAGCCATTAATTTTATTATGACTTTTATTTTGTATGAAAGTGCATGAAGAAGAGATTCGTTGGTCTATCTCACCATATGAGAACGGATAAATCTCGTTATACTAAGGCCGTTTGGCTTTTATACGATATTCATGTTGACGCAGTTCACGATGCTTCCTCCCTCGTTTCGGGTGAAAACGTGCTAAGCTTTTGTCCATTATATGATGGACATCATTAGAGTTGTGTCATTCTTGTAAGTTTTATGTTAACATTAGGGCAAGAACACTATCCGGTTCTATATTATTTTTTATATAGATTCAATTAAGCCAAAATAAATTAAAAACCTATATAGATCGATATAGAGTGGTTTGGTTGATTTTCTGTCATACTGGTTCTGTTTCTTTTACTCGAGTGTGTTCGTGTTAGCGTCTATATGCAATACGGTTCCTAAATCAGAGTTTAATCTTAGGTTTCGATCATCAAAGCCTAATGACCCAAGAGAAAGCCTTGAACTAGACTGCGTAAGTCCATAAGGAAGTATGATTGAGATAATGAGATATGAGCTTGTAAGCATGAAAATCAATTTTCGAAACTACCTGTACTAACCTTTCAGTCTAGGGTCATTAACGTTTAACCCCCCAAAGGAAGGCAAGAGTGGGGCTGCGTAATCTGACATGTCTGGTTTGGTTGATGAGCTTACTTTAACATGTTGGACGAATGCAAGTTAGAACCATCACCGAGCAGACAGATTGAGTCGCCTTCTTTTTGAAGGCGGCTGAACACCCTCTCTCTTTCAATCTATCAATCAAGCATATATAGTTCCTACTCAACTTTCTACCACAGTTCCTCACATTCAATGTATTTTCTAAGCTATAAATTTCAGTAACCTCTCTTATCTTTCTTTTAAACAGAGACATAACATAATCAGCAAACCTACTAGTTTGAAACCATTATATTTCATGTCCTGTTTCTACCATGTGTTCGGCCACTTCTGACCGTTGGATCCAGCTACATTTACAGGCATTCTTGTGTTCTCACAATCTTAGTCGAAGAGTTCGGCATGTCTCACCAACATAACATCAGCTACATGAGCAAACAATCTTGTAGCAGCCGAACCTTGATAATGGGTCCTATTTCTCTATAAAAGATAGCATAACAGAAGAGTGTCAGGGTTTCTCGGAACACTGTTTTTATGCCCCACTTCTTTACTAATTCGCCTATCTTTTTTTGAGAGGGCATGACGGCAAAATTAGGACATGGGGAAAGATCTGTCTGAAAATTTATTCCTCTTATGAAATTGTCTACTGTCCTAGCAATTTCACAAAATCATACGAATTCCTAACTGAATATAGCCGAAAATCGGCAATTCCTTAGTTGTATGCATAAAAACTGTGAGATTTTATGCATCGCGCTTCCTTAATTATTTACAATTAATCTTAGAGGGACACCCTCCTTGTGAACCTTATGGAGACCGTAAGCCGTGGGGACCCTTGCATCTCTCAGGAGTTGTAAATTCATTTTCCACTTCTCAATTTCATCATTACTTACGCATACCTTAAGGGCATCCTTTAACCTAATCTTAAGTCTTTCTGTTGGGCCTCTCAGCAAAGGCCTACACGTGTCATTGTAATTTAAATGAACTATCATTTTTTGTACATAACTTGACTTATCCATGACTACCACTGCTCCACATTTGTCGATTTTCGTTGCGATTACATTACTATTGGACAGATATCTAGGAACCGTACTAAGATGACAATCTTTCTTAGGCGGTATTATATGGTCAAAATGAGGGATCACCTCCAATTCAATAGTATCCTTTACCTCTTCAGGCAATCTATCATATAGGCTAATTAATTCAACAAATATTTATAGAGAATGGTTTACCTCATTTGGAAGAGAAAAATGCAGTCCTCTTTCCAATAAAAGTACTACACTAACTTCTAGAGTTGTACAAGATAAATTAATTACCTTATCCTTCCCCGTAACAACGTTATCTCAAGAGATTCATCGTATCTGCCATTAATTTTAGCATAGGTAAGTAAACTTTCAGATCTGTCAATGGCCATATATTTATAGTTATACCTACTAGTTATGAACGTGTGAGAATTTCTAAGTATAGAAATAGGTCAAAATAGAACAAACACACTCGCCTACAAAGTAAATGAAGCGCTATAACTGTTTGAAGTAAAAAGAGAAAGCTCATCTCTGGAAATCCGTATTTAATGATAGATTAATTCAGACAGTGTTGGCTTCGACAGATTAGGTTTTCACATATATGTATAATAGGGGGCATAAATGCAGATCTTAGATATTGAGTAAGACTTTGTACTCTATCCAAAATCAATGGCTTTTTAAATTGACAAGACCCTTTAAAAATTATGGCTCGGTACTAAATATGGCACTTGTCAATGGCAATGTCAGCAAGGCGTCTTGGAGTGTACTAAATCAGCGGTCAGATGATATAAATTGTCATGAATGCTATAGCAGAAGACGCAGAATTGGATACATTCTTCCAAGTCGAGCCGACATCAGGACCAAGTTTCGAAAACGAGGTTAAGCCAATCAACAACGAGAAAAAAATCGAATTGAGAGTAAAGTTCGAAGGCCTTTAATCGTCAGGTCTATCAGGAGTCTCTTAAAATAAAGGAAAGCAAAAATGATAATTTTTTTTGAAGCTATGCAGATCAAGTACGATTAAACAGGCTGGATTTACATACAAATCTCTAAAATTTGAAATCAAAAGAACCGAAGAAAGACTTGAACAAACTTATTTTTAAAGCGAATGCAGAAATGGCGTTCTCAAAAATAGTTGCCATTTGAAAAGAAGGATAAAACATCAGGTATATCATAGTAAGCTATAAAATACCTTACAATCGTCACTGAAGTGTAAGGAGTAGGCCGGTAAAGCAATGTATGAGATCAGCCTTTTTATATATTGGCCCGGAGAATAAAAAATAATTGCTACACAATTCTTGCCTGCTTGGAGGACAATTCAAATAAGATGAATGTAGAGGAAACAAAGAAAAAGCAATCTGAAGAACAAAGGCAATCTTCAACGTTCTACGTTAGGACCTGGTAGCAATGGCCGTTGATCTGGTGCTGCCAACTGTTGACCGAGGCTCCGAGACGAATCATCCACTAGTATGTTGGGATTGAGTTTTGGATCCAGAAGTATATCTCCTTCAATTGTCGGTCCATTAATCATAAGGCGAAGAAGATAGAAAAAGTTTAGCAGAATAAAGACGGTTAAGACGCTATAAACGATTCTGCGGCGACGCAAAGGACCGAAAGTGCTGTCCATAATGGAATTCGATCTTGAGGGGAGGAAAAATGTGAAAGCGATAAATACAAGTAAAGAGTGGTGGGAAAACAAAGATGGCTATGGACAAGGCATCAAAAACAAATACCAAAAGGAAAAATTTGTGTCAATGAGCAATTTGCACTAGCTTCTAAAATATTCTCGCAATTTAAATAATATGGGAAATGAATTTTCACAATACGGAATATGCTGAAATGGCAAGGAGTTTAATATCAGTCATCTGGCCTAAAATACTTCGTTTAAATAAGATTTCCTGAACATCAGCCACCACTAGCATCACTTATAGTAAGGGGCTATGCAAATCGATTATTCTTTTAAATTAATATATTGTTTCTTTCAGAAAAAAGCCCGTACATATTTAACATAATTAAGAATATGCTGTATTCGAAGGTATGAAGACCAAGAGGGTGTTGCCTTTTGTGTGGTGGCGATCTCCTTTCGTTACAGAGAAGTTGTTTGACATTGTTTTCGAAACTAGGTCATATTGGTAGGAAGACTTAGAGGAAGGCACATAGTCCGGAGTCCATTGTATGCATGATAATTTCCAAAACCAGCATCGCCAATTAGTCTTGCTATTCTTAGCATCACACTAAGACTCGTCGAGGAGACAAGTGAAGCCGATTCTTTAACCAATTGTCTCCTAAACAATCGTGGTATTTATCCTTCCCCCCTGGAATAATCACTAATCCTATATCCTCCTATCACGCTTTCACTATCACAATTTTTACTTGCTTATTTAAATGTGGTATGGTGTGGCATTTTGAAAGGCCTTCCTGAGAACTCTCCATACTCCACACTGGCGTTCTCACTCCCCTCTTCGCTCGTGCTGGAAGTGTTGATTAGAGTCTTCTTCTTACCCCGTAGGATCGGTCTGCTATATTCCTGGTTCAAGTATTTTACTCGACCCCTGCCACACCATCTGTGTTACTCGAGGCGCTATTTCCCACATTTTGTCTCTAGGCGACTAACTTGAGGGTAAAGCCGCTGGGTAATTCTCATGATCAAGCCTTTGCTTCATTGACCACACCTATGGTAAAACAGGCCTACTGTAAGTTAACTAACTCCGGTCTCCGCTGCGTCTGTCCTGTTTCCATCCGTAATACCAAGTCGATGACTTACTATGTCCTAATATCTTGTGTGCAAACCCACCAATGTTTTGGTCCTGGTTGCTTTGGTTAAGCTCAATATTTTGTGGATTGGGAAATCGACAGAAATGCTCGCTGCATATGGTCAAAATATGAGA